AGAGTTATGCTATGATCTTGGAAATCCAATCCACAGTTGAATGTCGTTAGACTGATTAACATAGGGTACTGGTTATATTGAATTATAATTTATTAATTCAATAATTAGATTTTTCTCAAATCTACATATCTGGTGCTCGTTAACTAACAGCATCGTATAGATTTTATACTATATTTGTTATTATTTTGTTTATGTTATTATAAATTATATTATTTTTATACTTCTGATTTAAAATCAGTTATAAAATTTAAAAATTTTCTAAATAAATTGCGTAAATCATTTCTAATTTAGTTTGCGAGTTTAATACATATAATTTTCGTAATGATTACTAATAATCTATTAGTAGAAGAAAACTAGTTTGACTTCAAACAAAAGAGTATGAACCGAAACAACTGGAATAAGTAATTCTAATAAACTGCAACAAAAAAATCTGTTTTCAGACTGTAACAATTACTGAGTTCACGTTAATAGTTGACTACGACATAGCCAATATTTAATTAGTTAACAGTAGCACAAACTGTTTTTGTGTAAAACATAAAACATTACTCAATTATGCAGTTGTAGATGCATTTCTCAGAAAAACTGTCAACTCACATAACTGATTAAAGGTACCTTGAATCATTGTTCAAGTCACAGAACGTGCGCCATGAATTTTGTCGCTATGCGTTGACTAATTAAAAATGCAAAATTTATGCACAATACACTTGGTTGGTTAGTCAGTTGAAGGACTTTAGTGAACAAACACAGCACACATATGCTTTAAAAAAAAATCATTTGGAAATTAAAAACAGCAGAAATCTGTAAAATCTGTTGATAAAAACTTTTTAAGCTGCGTTTTAACGACGAAGTATCTTTGTCATTCAAAATGAATTTAAACTTCTGTGTTGATATGCATGAGCCAGATATATTCAAAACTTTTCTTGCTACCATAATCGGTTTCCATATGCAAACCATATTTATCTAACCGACAATATAAACAAAAAAAAGTTTGTTTATACTTTAATCTGCAGTCTTTTAAAAATATGTGTTGCCTTTTACGGTGCGATATATGAAAACGTAACATATCACACATTTAGCTAGACATAAGGTGCTTTAATGATTACAAATTGTTAGGGATGGGCAAAATTATAAAAAAGTTTGAATTAATATTTATTAAACGAAATAAACTAAAATAAAGATATATAAATTTGAAAAATTTGAAGCAAAATAATGGTATATACTCGCTTTGATAATAAAGTAATCAAAATTTTATAGCAACAATAATATTTACCCTCAAAAATATAAACAATTTTTTTCCATTTTATAGAAAATTAGTACTTATGGTAAATTAGTACTAAAATTAGTACTAAAAATTTCCTCTAAATTATTTGTTGAAATAATTTTTTAGTTATATATAGTTGAGAGTTCGCATGCTAATGCAACTAGCAACACTTCCACTCAGATACATATATTGCCCTCTGTGATATTTTTAATATTGCCTACTAGGAACTATGTGTTTTTTGTAGTGGCTTATACTGGTTAAACCATTTGATCTCCCAAATAAAGTTAAGGAGCCTTAATCAATTCACTTTCGTTATCCCAGAGAGATCAGCGAAGAAACGATTTTCATAATATTGAAATCGCTTCGTTAGAATTCTTGGATAAAGACATATAGTTACTAATAGATTCTGTATCCCGTATTAAATATAGTAACTCCTACATCACACACTTATCAAAATACGTCACTGTAGAAGTATCGGCATAAGGATACAGTGCCGTGTTAGTACTCCAGTAAGTACACGATTTAAAGGCTTCCCGAAGTGCAAAAAGCTTTTCGTTTTATTTCTATCTAATCTATGTTATATTGGTCTAGTAAAGAGACGATCCCAAGACTTTGAAGTCGTTTCCTCTGAACACTGGACAAAGACAAAGAGTGGGTGATGGGACTGTATCCGCTTTCAGAGGTAGTAACACCTTCAGTTGACGGAACACACTGTTTATATTGCAGTAACTGCACGAACTTAGGGTTTGCGAAGATGCAAAAGATTTTTTATTTTATTCTTTTCAAATCTTCTGGGTCATAAAATTCTAGCGACTTTATAGTTTTCACAATTACTTTTCAGACCATTTGTCAATGCGATGGAATATTTCTCTTACCTTAAACAGTTTATATCTTTTTCTGACCGTCCCGTCTGCTACCCCTTTACTTTTAATATTTTTGCGTACAGAAACCTAACAAACAAAGACCTGGTAATGTTCAATATTCATCATCAGTATATTGGAATAAAATAACTAAATTTCTTGATTACATATTTTTTGTCTTATTTATTTCTGAATGTTGAAGACTGTATGATAACTCATATATAGTAATATATACTATATATGATAATTCATATATAGTAAAGATAAATAATATGTCATTACAATTTTTTTAATATAACAATGAAGACTTTATTTATTATTCATAAAAGTTATGTTTTTCTAAATAGAAATTTTTCTTAATCGGGAAGAATTGCTGGTCCTGTCGGTGTCCGTTTAAAATAGCTTCCACTGTAATATGTTATCTAATTCTTGCTTTTATGATTTAACTTAATGATGTTATTATTTTAAACTACAAAATCTGTTTTATTAATTATATAAAAACAATATTGATTCCTTCTAACTATTAATGCCTTCAATGAACTTTCTCTTTTTATCAATCTATTAGAAGTTCTCCAATAGAAGTTTAAATAATTTTTCTTTGTATAAACAACTTAATGCAGTAAAATTTAATCAATTGAAAGATATAAATCAAATCATAATTCTTTATAATTAAGTCAATTATCCATGTAACGGTAATTAATTTGTCAATAACTTATCTTATCTTGACCGATGTTGTAGGCCTTTAAATATGCCAAATTAAAATTGTATGTACCATCTTCTTTCTATTATTGTTGATTTCATAAAATGAAAATGAGTTAAGTAAATGAAATTCTTGAATTTTCACGCTGTGTATCTTGTATCTATTTTAGTTTGTCCAATACGATACTCTGCTGTTTATTTCATTCTATTGTATTGTTTTTTTTTTAATCTTTTAAACCTTTACTTCTGATTGAACTTCTTTAACCACAAATATAAGCACAGAATTAACTGATTATACATGTATGCTATGTATAATAATTCATCATCGTCAATATTTCTACCATTATCACTATCTCTACCTCAAGATTTGTATTAAACGTAATTGCTTAGTAATTTGACTGGAAGGCAGTTAATAATGACAAATACCTTTACAAATCTACAAACCTCATGGATTGATGAAAAAAAATTAACGCATGTTTTTACGCTTGTATGTGTCGATTTATGGAAGATTGACTGTTGAACCGGCACGTTTATTGTGGATTATGTTGATGTAAATATATTAAGTTTCATAAAATCAGTCCAACAATTGTTATATTTAAATGCAAATTTTTTTTTTATTCTGTAAATAGGACTCGAGAAAAAATATACTTTTGTTTTTGTTTTAATTTTATTGAGTACATTTTATACAACACCTTTCCTATATCACGTAGAAACTAGGGTAGAGGTAAAAAGTAACAATTTAAAATATACATAATACATACAATTTAAAAACACGTAATATATGTAGAATGTTTCATTTACATATAAATAATAATATTACTTTGTTGTGAAAGAGGGTTTCATTAGTTATGTACGATTGCCATACACTTTAATATAGTATAAGTACATTGCATATTTTATGTACTGATCTATTTTCTGATATATTAGAGAGGCTTCCTCTTTCACTCCTCCCTCCTCTATATATATTCTATATTTCTTCAACACTTTTTTGTTTGATATGCACGCATCTAACCTAATTGGCATTTATTTTTTTGACACTTTCTTCTCCAATGTATAATCTTCCAGCTTATAATCTTTCTAATACTTCTCTTTTTAAAAACTACTTATTTAAAATAAATATAAAATAATTTTTCTCCACTTTATTAATCCTTAATTTCTTATTCTCCTTGCACTTCCACTTGTTTTTCTCCTTTTAATCGTCTTTCTGATCGGTTTGTCGTTCTCTTCTTCGCTTTATTGCTCTATTTTGTGCTTACGTTGTCATA